TTAAGCAGGAATTAAACATTTTTCAATAAGAAATTTAAACTGTTTCAGAAACAGATAGCTTGTCTTCGGTTTATTCAATGTCTTAGAAATTACACAAATAGAGCGGTTCCTTAACTTGAGAAGTTATGTATATTTTATCATATAAGAACACAATTGACTACTATTTACGTATATTTGGGCTATTTGTAATATTTATGATATGATTCATATATTAGGAGTTGTTCTTCGAACATATGGAGCTGGTAATATTCCATCTTCTCGTCAGGACCTACTGGATGCATTAAAAGAAGCTTCTGATCGAGGTATGCTTATGGTTAATGTTACACAATGTTGGCGTGGTGGCGTCAAAGCAGTTTATTCAACTGGGATGGTTCTCAATGAATATGGTGTAACTCCAGGATATGTAAGTTGTATGATCATTATATAGGAACACAAAGTATGATAATCTGATTTAAATAATCAGTGTAAGCTATCATTTTTAATATGACGTAATGATTAACCTCAAGTTCAAATAGATTTGATCTTCACTCATAGAGCTCCTAGAATTCTGAGTACATTCTCCTTAAATTTCTATTTAGTTTTGTTCAAGTGAAGATTTATTGAGATTATCTTGCTTATATATGCAGATTACATTATTCAATAAAAATATTTTGTCCTATTAAATTGTCTTCTTAGAAATTTTTTTTCAATTAGAGTTATGGTGACTACTGTTTGTACACACTGAAATTATCAATAAATCATTGTTAGACCACCATTAGAAACCTGGAAACACTGGACGGCCGTTTCTTCCTCGTATAGGACTCGTCAGCAGTGCGCATTTACGACTCCTGCACCTGGCGGGATTCGAACCCAGGACTTTCGGTTTTGCGAGCGAACGCCTAACTTATGGAAATTAAGAAATTTATAAATAATAACATTGGCAAAACTATAAATTAATTATCTAGTGGATTGATTATCTGAAATCAGCATATCATCTTGAATGTAGTATATATTATCTGAGTTGGTTGGCCTTAGCTTATCGTTCATGAGATAAAAAAAACAATTTTCTTCTAACTCCACTAGTGAATCATATTTTCCTTAAGATTTTCATGTAACAATGCATTCAATCGACTTATAACAAGAACAACAGGAGATAATTTTTTATTAGCTTATTCTGACTTTTTACACACACTGTTTATGCGGGTTTCTTCTGGGAATAACAATTGGACAGTGAAGTGTATATTCAAAAAAAAACGGCAATGAAAAAGAGCATAGAAAATAATATTAATAAACACTAATTAGACCAAGGATGAAATGAATGTTTTGAACACTTTCCTTTAAAGTAGAATCGAATAAATATCTATAATGATTTGATTTCTGATAATATTACTAATCAAGTTAATAACTATGCTATTAAAATTCAACCAATCAAAATCTCAGTGATAAAATGCACGGCATTAACTTTCAACCAATTACGTTTTAAATAAAGGAGGTATAATATGAATCTTTTTAACAAAGATATCATTGTTATTGGTGTGTGAATTTTTGTTTACAGTAATTATCGATAGGCAATATATTAGATATAATCTTGATTTTTGACCATACTGGTATGTATGTTATTGACCCAGAAATATTCTTCTATAATCTTATATATATATATATATATATATATATATATATATATACAATTGAAATTCTGTTCAATTTTACTGATATATTTACATCACCAACTAGTATAACTTAAATGTTCATCTGTCTCATTTTTTTTTATATTTAATAATATTATATAGGATATAACAACTGAAGCAGCCCTTACTAAATTGGCTTATATATTGAGTAAAACAGAAAATGAAGATTATTCTAGTAAACGTACAATGTTATTAAGTAGTTTACGAGGTGAAGTCACTGTTGAAGGTGAAGATTCTAGAGCAGCTAATGTATCATTATATAATAAAAATTGTTTAAATCAAGATAGAAATTTGATGGTATATTTTGCTAAATTATTTTCAACAACTTCATCAGATGATTCTGAAGGAACTGGTTCAATGTGGGTTCAACGTTTAATACCAACACTTGGTTGTTGTGCAGCTGCATCAAATAATGTATCATGTTTAAAAGAAATATATCATATAATTGGTCATTTACAGGTAGGTATTTTTATGTATGAAAAGCTTTTATTACAATTCTTTTTTATTTTAATTATATTTTGAAAAAACGAATCCCAACCAATATTTGTAGGATGACAGTTTTTACTAAAATAAACTTTCACTCAGATAAATTCTATTGAGATGAGTTAATTAAAAAGTGAAAGGTCAAAAAGTTGACTTGAGTAAAATGATATCAAAGCCTGACTGAGATTATTGTTCAAGCATCATTGTAAGTCGACTGGATTGCATAGTTCATATTTAATAAAAGGAATCAAAATGAAAGTGATTTACTGTAACATAACCACACCTTAGTATGAACTTATTTATTAAATTGGTATTATCTTTCTATCATTTTCTTTTTCTATTACTTCATTGATCTATGGAATAAAGGTAATTTTATGCCAATTAGTTATGAATTGATGTAAAAGATTTTTGAATTCATTTACATTATAAATAAATAATACAGAAATTTATGGACTAAGTTATTATCTCTCAGTCAAGAATGGTATTGAAGTCAGTTTAGTATTTATTGTTTAAAACTGCTAGCGATAGTTTTTTTCGTAACCCACACCATGTGTCACGCAATTGTAAGACAACTACTTATTCGTTTGCAAGAAATGATCTCTAGGAAATTGTATTTGGGACTAACTAACAAGTACGTATAATTATGAAATAGTCTGTAGATATCTTACTCTCGACAATATAGTAGTTTAATTGATATTCTGAGTCATTTAAAGCCGAACATTTGACTTTCTTCTATTTACAGAAAGTAATAAATAACCTATTGCCCTTTTTAGACATATAGTTGAGTCAAAAGGAGGAAGGAACTAGAAAGCGTTTAGTTTATAGCAAACCAACCTGGACTCGGAAGTATTTAAATTTTAGCAGTTTTTGTTAAACTGCAACACAAACGTGGTTTGATAAAATGCCTCTTCAATAGGGCATAAAGAATTTCACCAAGGATGCATTTGAAGACGATGCAAAATGCTTGACTGAAATATCGATTTCAAACAATTATCTGTTAAGGTTCATCAATAGGTATAAGAATCAGCTAAAACAATAGCCTGTTTTTTATTCTGCTGAGAAGAAAAAGGTTTAAATAATAGAGCTGAATCAAATTATCTAATCTTAAGACAGCAACTAAAAGCAAACATAGAGAAAACATACTACGCTGCTAAACTGATTGTAACTGAAAAGACTAAGCCCATGATACCGCATAGGCCCAAACATTGCTGAAATGATCACATTACATCTCATTGCATTTATCAATTTACATGCTTGTGTGGACATACATACATAGGAAGGAATAATCGGACTTTACAAACAAGGGTTATGGAACATGTACCTAAATGGCTTCAAAATCAGTTAACTTCAGATGAGCCGATAAACAAGGAAAAGAGAAAACCGTGTTCATCGATGAAAAAACAAGTAATTGAGACAGGGCAAATGATTGACATCAAGACAGCCTTTAAAACATTGTGTAGAAACCTTCAAGGACAAATTTTGAGGTTTATGAAAAAGTATAGGCTATTCGTAAATTACAACCCTCCTGATCTGTACAGAAACGGTTTCTTATAACTTTGGATTTGCCCTGGTAATCTTTAAGCCTAGGGTAATTTGACAAATTTCCTATCCTTTCTTACTCTTTTCATATTACGTTAATTTTCCCTCTCTTTAGTTTACAATTATCACCTTATGTCTATTTGAACTTTTATTTAGTTGACTTTTTATTAATCTTCATATAAAATGCCTTGACAAGTGGATATGTGTGACCAGATTGTTCGAAATGTGTAGCGCGAATACACCACATTTTTCATATCACTTACGCCTTCTCATTATTCTGTCAAAATCTTTCAGTTGTATTTAGATTAAACAACAAACCATTTAAAAATGAATCACGTGTCTCTGATTTACTCGTACAACTATTCTACATATTAATTTGGATTAGAAAAGGTCTTCAAGTTTCAACTTTATAAATTAAGGGAAACTAAGTGTAAAATTTCTCAAGTATCTGTTATCGGTTATTGGTAGATTAGGTTTACAGCTGAAAATTTTGTTGATTATGTAACTGCTTTTCATCGTTGACAATCTGTTCAGTGAATTTCTTCATAACGATGATTAACACTGTTTATCATCTGTATTGATTATCGCTTATGTGCATATTGGCTTAGAACAAAATTTTATCAAACACATAGTTGACTTTCGGAAAAAAGTTTCTCTTAAAATATTGTTAATTCAATATTTTTAGGTATGCACAGATTAAAAGTGGTTTTTTTTGCCAAAACAATCTATGAACTTTTGCACTCAGCTTGTCAGATATTAATAACAAAGTCAATTTGCTGTTATCAGATGTAATATGACATTTGTAAGGAATTTCAATGGCTGTAAGATAATAGTTTTAAATTATAAAAATTTTCATCAATAATATTTATTGACCTCTCAAAAGGTATACTAATAAATAAAAGGTAAACATATTACTCACTTACTTACGCCTGTTACCCACAATGGAGCATAGGACGCCCACCAGTTTTCTCCTACCAACTCTGTCCTGGGCTTCCCTTTCCAGTTCTGTCCAACTTTTGTTCATTCCTCTCACATCTTTCTCTATTTCTCGGCGTAATGTGTTCCTCGGCCTTCCTCTTTTCCTTCTGCCTTCAGGGTTCCGTGTGAGGGCTTGTCTTGTGATACAGTTAGATGCTTTTCGTAGTGTGTGTCCTATCCACTTCTACCGCTTCTTCCTGATTTCCTACTCCACTGGAATCTGGTTTGTTCTCTCCCACAGTAAGTTGTTGCTGATGGTGTCTGGCCAACGAATCCGAAGTATTTTGCGTAGACAACTGTTAATAAACACTTGTATTTTGTGGATGATGGCTTTGGTAGTTCGCCAAGTTTCCGCTCCATACAGTAGAACTGTCTTGACATTTGTATTGAAAATCTTGATTTTGGTTTTGGTTGAAAGTTGTTTGGAGTTCCAGATATTTTTCAACTGTAGAAATACAGGCCTTGCTTTGCCAATCCGTGCCCTCACATCTGTATCGGGTCCACCTTGGTTGTCGATGATGCTGCCTAGATCTGTAAGGGTGTTAACGTCCTCCAAGGCATCTCCATCAAGAGTGATTTGATTGGTGCATATTGTTTTGCATCGGAGAACATTCGGATAATTTTTTTGACTTCCAGTTTTTGGACAGTGTAACTTTTAGCCTTCAGTAGCCTTTTGTTAAGTTGATTTGGATTAACATTTCTCCTGTAGAAACTTTTGTATGGCTTGTTTTCAGGATGTTTCATGGTTTATCTTTAGCAGTGTGACCTAACCATAGTAACCACAATATTGAACTCGTTTGATTTTGTAATGATAGATTTCCCAACTTTATACATCTGTTTGAAGATGTGTAATGAATTTCATTATGTTCCTTTGATTGTTAGACAAGCCATTTAAACAGCATCACATCTATATTTACTTAAATTTTCGTGGAATACATTGATTGCTACCTAATATTATGATTAGTAATGCAGTTGAAACCTCGAACTTATTGTCACATTTTGAAATAACAACTGATCTATCAAAAATGTTTTCTTCATCACTTAATAAAACTAAACGTCAATCAATACAATGGGATTAGTATATGAATCATAAATAGTGGTCATTATACAAAACTTCAATTTAAGTCAATGAAATGTTTCTGATAAGTGAAAAATATGACTAAACGTTTCTTTAGACATGACACGAATAGATAGTCTAGTAACAATAATGTTCATAGTAATTAACTCCGATATATTAAATTGTTTTTCGATAATTTGAGAGCTTTAAAAATTTTTACCTTAAACAAAAAATGTATACCGTTTATTAAAAAATATTGAACAGTGAATGAACACTAGCAATTTACCTGTTAAATTAGTTTTGATCTACTTCATTTGATTGAATTCAGCACTTTTGTGAATAAGTTCATTTGAAACAGATTAATATTAACTTAGATAATCAATATGCCGATGACATTGTCCTACTTGGTGAAGATGCTGACAAAATGCAGAGTCTTCTGACTACCCTATGCAACAGTGCAAGCATGTTCGGAATGCGGTTCTCACCCTCAAAATGCAAAATGTTGCTTCAAGATTGGGTTGAATCGGCACCTGAACTAGTGATACGGAGTGAAGTAGTCGAACGTGTTGATCACTTCACTTATCTTGGTAGTCTCATCAGTGCCGATGGCTTGGTGACTGACGAAATTTCAGCACGGATACAGAAGGCTCGATTGGCTTTTGCGAACCTGCGTCACTTATGGTGTAGGCGAGATATCCGTTTGCTGACTAAAGGACAAGTGTACTGCGCAGTGGTTCGCTCCGTCTTACTTTATGGCTGTGAAACATGGCCAGAGAGAGTAGAAGATATTCGTAGGTTACTGGTTTTCGATCATAGGTGTCTTCGAAGCATTGCTGGTATATCATGGGACAATCGAGTAAGCAATGCTGTTATTAGGAAACGGGTACTAGGTAAGGATGACAAATCAGATGAAGTAGTGAATATTCATAAGTTGAGATGGTTGGGACATGTGTTGCGTATGCCTAACCACCGAATGCTTCGACGAGCTTTGTTTTGTAGTGTAGGAGTAGGTTGGAAGAAAGCTAGGGGCGGCCAGACCAAAACATGGCACAAATCCATGAATTCACTGACAAGTGTACTGAGTCATGTCGTTAGGTGTCGACTACTGGTTGGGGTCCGCGAGATTATAGAAATCGATGGTTAGAAACCCTGAATGACCTGGCTCAAAATCGTTCGCATTGGCGCCAGTGCATTTATTCTCTGTGTTCTCTCAAATGCCAGTCTTCTGGATTCTTCAACCCCTCTAGTTTCGACTCTAAACTTTTCTCACTGAATCATACTTCTTGAATAGTATCTTCTAACCCTAATCTCTCCGATTATTTCTAATTCCCTTACTACCTCTTCTACTATTGGATTTGAATTGACGATTACTTCTCTGTGCTGATGTGGTATGGCAACATGAACTGATATACTTATGTACAAAGTTCTACGTTGCATCTGACTGATTGACTGAGATAATCAATTTAAATGTATTTTAATACATATCAGTTGTATTCAGTTTCCTTTAATGAAAGCATTATGATAAAAATTCATCATCAATCTTTATTAATAAGTAGTATATTTTTATAGTGGTTATTGAATGAAATCCTTTAGACAATGAATCTGTTTTTTTTTGTTTTGTAAAAATCATTTTAATTCTCAACATGATTAAAACTTGAAAGAATTCTTAGATTGTTTGTGAATTTCTTAAATATTTGAAAAGAATAATCTTTATATATTTCATTATAGATTCTAGCTTTAACTTATTGGTTAAGTCAGTTAGTCAATGTAGAACTTCGTACGTAATTACATCAGTTCATATTGCCATAACACATTAGCACAGAGACGCAATTGTCAATTCAAATCCAATAGTAATAGAGATAGTAGAAGAATTACTGATAATGGAGAAGATTAGGATTTGAAGATATTATTCAAGAAGTGTAATTCAGGGAGATAACCTAATGAGAAAGATAGAGGTGTTGACGAATCGCGAAGATTAGGATTTGTGAGAACACAGACTGAATGCATCTGCGCCATTGAGCCATGTCATTCAAGGTCTGTAACCATCTATTACTATCATCCCATGGACCCAAACCAAATAGTCGACACCTACCGACATGATTCAATCCACTTGTCAATGACTTTATGGATCTGTGCCATGTTTCGTTGGTTTGGTCGTCCCTAAATTTCTTTCAACCTAATCCTACACCATAAAACCATCGCTCGTCGAAGTATAACTCTTTATAATAATTTATTTTTCTTATTTGGTTTTCAGTTATTTGACACTGAAGGATGTACTCCACTTCATAAATCAGCATTTTATGGTCATATTGCAGCAACAAAATATTTATTAGAATGTGGTGTATCAGTTCATATTGCTGATAAACGTGGTTATACTCCATTACTTTGTGCTTTAAATAGTTTATTTCCATCATCTGAACTGGTACAATTATTATTAGATGCTGGTGCTGTATTAAATGCTGAAAGTCAACTTGTCACTAAATTAGTTCATCAAGCAGTTTCACATGGTGATATAGAAAGATTACGTTTATATCAATTGGCTGGATATTCATTTTGTGTAAGTTTGTCAATTTTTTTTTAATATTAGTACATATTAGTAGTAGTGATAATAATATTTAAATTTTTTGAAACCACAAACCGATCAATGTTAGACCACCATTAGAAACCTGGAAGCACCGGACGGCCGTTTCGTCCTGGTATGGGACTCCTCAGCAGTGCGCATCCACGACTCCTGCACCCCGCGGGATTCGAACCCAGGACCTTCGGTATTGTGCGCGAACGCCCTAACCGATAGACCACTGAGCCGGTATATAACGGTGTTAATGTCCAACTTGATCAATTCACGGAGTTGCGCAACCTCATACACAGTCTTCGGTAGTTACTGTCTACACCCGAACAGGTTGAACTTCACTGGTCACGTCTTCCCACTAGAACTCGGAGAAGATTCCTCACGAAGCTAGTCACTAGTGAGCACAGGTAATTTGCATTACGGGGTTGTGAAGATTGTTAAGTTACACATACCAGGACGAAACGGCCGTCCAGTGCTTCCAGGTTTCTAATGGTGGTCTAACATTGATCGGTTCATGGTTTCAAAAATGTGTAACTTAACAATCTTCACAACCTTGTAATGCAAATAATATTTAAATGTCTGTTTTTTTTAAAACTAACAATGGTAGATTATAACGAAGAGAGTATTGCCTCACCAAAAAAAAAAACTGCTACTGAGAAGTTGATATTTTCACTGGAACTTGAACCTCCCGAGATCATGTTATGATATTTAGGAAGTTCAGTGAATATTAATTTAAATTAAATAGTTCGCAAATGGTACAAATATTGATTTGTCAAATAGATGCAGAGAATTCAGAAATATCTTTAGTTGAAATTCCTGACTCAGGCATATTTATAGATTTCAAAAATATGCCTAAACCATCTGACTAACTTTTAAATTTTCATGCATATTCTATAATCGATTAAAACCTCAAGACTTTCTATGGTCAAATGAGTAGGACCTTGGTCTTTGTATATCAATGAATTCTGATATATAATCTATCAAGTTGTTTTATCACTTTTTATTTGTCCTTTTTATTCAAAAGGATACAAGTGTGGTAAGAATTCTGAGGAGATTAGAGGAATAATAAAATCGATTGTAACTTTACATCTCAACACGTGTCCTTCAACAATTGATTTCATAATAGAAAGGAATACACTTCATAAGGTCGATCACAGCCATTAGTTTTTGTTTTCGGAAAGCCATTTATGAAGATATAAAATACACACTCATAGATCTGTCGGAAACAGTTAGTCCAGATATTACGGACATGACATATTGATTTCTATTATTATGAGAAAGTGGAAATGAAGTGAGAATAAGTGATTGTTGTTATATACACTTTAGTCAAGAAAAATCGTAGTAATTAATTCATACAAACACAAAGCTCGAACAGTACAGTTCGAGTTAGAGCTTATGGTGAACAGTCATCGGAATTGGTGTCCATCAGCGCCGTCCGCCTTCCCCATGCTTGTTTAATTTTGTCACAGATATGCTCCTAGAATTAACATTATCCTCGTCCGAATCTTCAGGAGTGGACAATCCACCAGGAAAATCGCTTGTTGACTTAGAATATGCCGATGACATAGTTCTATTCGGTGAAGACGCCGACTAAATGCATTGTCTCCTGACTAAGATGTAAATATGTTTGAGATGCGGTTTTTCCAATCGAAATGCAAAATTTTGTTTCAGGATTGGTTTGTATTGGCACTTGAACTAGTGATAAGGAGTAAAGTAGTCGAGTGTGTAGACCGCTCCACTTATCTTCGGAGTCTCATCACTGCTGATGGCCTGGCGACTGACGAAATCTCAACACAGATAGAGAAGGATCGATTGGCTTTTGCCAACTTGCGTCAATTATGGCGAAGACGAGATATCCGCTTGGTCCTACTTTACGGCTGTGAATAATGACTAATAAGAGTAGAAGATATTAGTCGGTTATTGGTTTTCGATCATCGGTGTCTCCGAAGCATTGCTGGTATATCATGGGACAATCGAGTAAGCAATGCTGTTATTAGGAAACGGGTACTAGGTAAGGATGACAAATCAGATGAAGTAGTGAATATTCATAAGTTGAGATGGTTGGGACATGTGTTGCGTATGCCTAACCACCGAATGCCTCGACGAGCTTTGTTTTGTAGTGTAGGAGTAGGTTGGAAGAAAGCTAGGGGCGGCCAGACCAAAACATGGCACAAATCCATGAATTCACTGACGAGTGGACTGAGTCATGTCGGTAGGTGTCGACTACCTGGTTGGGGTCCGCGAGATTATAGAAATCGATGGTTAGAAACCTTGAATGACCTGGCTCAAAACCGTTTGCAATGGCACAGGTGCATTCATTCTTAGTGTTCTCTCAAATCCTCACCACATCTATCTTTTTAGGTTTATTTTACTAGATTCTACTTCTTGAATAATATCGTCAAACCCTAATCCCTCCGATTACTGCTAATACTTTTACTACCTCTACTACTATGGGATTTGAATTGACAACTGCATCTCTGTGCTAATGTGTTATGGCAGTTTGAAATGATGGACGTACTTACTTCTATATTGTTGTCCACTGACTGACATACTACTTAGTTAATAGTTAGTAGCTAAATACTAACTTATAAAAGTAAATCAAATTTTAATTTCATGATTCACTTTTTTTTGTTTCGACTTAAATGATGATGATGACCTGTAAACTCCTTTCGGTCACTATTCAAATTACTTATTTGTTTGTGATGACATGAAAGTAAGTGTTATGCTACACGGATTGTTATTTTGTTAATTATTGAACAGGAAATGTTACATTCTCCAAGGTTTTATTATTATTCATCAACAGTTTCATGTCTAGGAACTAATCATTGTTTCATGTATAGATGTTTATTCTTCTTCTTATTATTATTATTACTGTTTTTCATAAGAATCTAAACAATTTTATGCCCCTTTTTTTTGTAATTATGATAGAATATGGATGAAGAAGGTCGTTCAGCTTTACATGTAGCTGTAGCACATCGACAATTGAATTCAATTAAATTTCTTATATCACCAATAAATAATACTGAAAATTCTCAAGATGAAGAGAAGAATAATAATGCAAACACAACAGAGCTAGAATCAGGTGCTGGTATAGATCCAAAATGTCATCATACATTATGGGGTACAACTGCATTAGATGAAGCTAAATTACGACATTTTGATGATATTGTACAATTATTAGAAACAAATATATGATCAATTCAAATTTGTACATAAAAAGTAATCATTATTAGATATAGACATTTCAAGGGCCAATTATGGATGATTTTTGAATGTGTAGCTGATATTTCAATGAAATGCACATTCCATTAAAATTAAATTTTCTTCTTTATTCAATACTTTTAAGTGTTTTTCTGTTGTTTGTTTGTCTGTTTGTTTGTTGGTTGGTTGGTCATGTTGGATTATTTACTGTTCTGTCTAAATCAAATACCTTGTCTCATTGCTTTCAACTTACACATTGTCATTAGTGTGTGTGTGTGTGTGTGTGTGTGTGTGTGTGCAGTTACTGAATAATTTCCTTTCAGTAGTGTTGTTTAATGCTCCTTCACCTGTTTTAGATATCAGATAGATTTCTCATTCCTTCAATTTTTTTTTGGACTTTAACTTTTTGATTGAATTGTAAATAGAATTGATTTATTTCGATGATCAAAATTCATGCTGATCAAGAGTAATAAATAGTTGAGTTGTTTTTTTTTTGTACTAGTGTTATTCATCATATCATCATCACCTTTCAATATCATTTGATAGACTATTGAATAGTTGTTTAATTAAAGAATTAATATTTTGAGATGGTGAAGAAAATATGTAGCTCAAGGGGATGATTGTGGTGGTGTTTCGTTTCTCTGTGAGCTGAATGTTTTAGTGGTGGAGCTTTCATCATTGTTCACCTTCTGAACAATAACATCAGCAGCACGAACTTCATGGACTGTGCAAAATCTCTTCAATAGGACAAAATGGACGACTTCTTCAGCTTCGTCGTTTACGTGAACACCAATTAGCAGTCATAGGCCACGACATTTCTTTGCTTAAATCAATACACACCGACAATTATGGACATACGTTCGATCGGAACAATGTGGAAAATACTGGATAGGGGGAGCACAAAGAACACTATAGAATTTTTAGAAGCTTGGCACTCAGAGGTCAGTGAGGAAATCAACAAACACATCGATATTGACCCAATTTATCAACCAGTCAGAAAAAATCATAGGTGACATAGGATCAAGAAACAAAAGATCAAAAGTGGGATACAATCAAAACAAAGGTGCAAACAACGACAGATTTACGGTCAACAGCAACCAGTCAATATCGAAGTTAACAGAAAAAGCTACAGGTCGAATGTACAGAAATTCAAATGCTTCACTTCTCTATCTTAAGAAGTTTGTGCTGATGATGTTATTGTTCAGAAGAAGAACAATGAAAGCTTCATAACCAAAACATCCAGCTCAGAGAGAACGAAACACCACTACAACGAATTAATATTCATGAAAATGTACATTGTAGTACATTTAAAAAATTCACATATTATCTATAAGATAGAATACAAGGAAAAAAAATAAAAAATAAACTAATTGATTAATCATAATAGAAAAATGTACATCTGATTGAGGTTATCGAAATACATTCATCATGAAGATGCATCCCGAAAAAAGTGAACAAATCTTCTTCAGATGATTGATTTTTATTTTTCACTAAATACTGATCATATACTTTATCTTTTCTACACTAACATGATGAACACCAGCATTTTATCTTTGCTACACTGAGTGAGATTTAACTTAACTGAAGCATTGGAACATGAACCGATTTATTTACCAAATTCTACCTGTTGCATCTTATAAATTGTGGTTATTCATTTCATTTACTAATCTTTCATAGAATAAAAGGGTTTTAATAACTGACGTATTTTTTTTGATGGCAGATCACTAAAACTCTGTTACTAATTATTATTTCAACATTATTTATTAGCAAAATATATTTTTGTATAAGACATAGAATCCCTAATAAACTAGAATAGTTACTAGCTTACTTAAATAACAGGTTGTCCGAATTTTGTATTCATTGATTTTCGATTTTCAATACAATAGAGATGTATGTCTAAAATTATTTCTGTTAAATTAGCTTTTAATTAGTACAATCAAACCGAACTATCAGAAATAAAAGAGAAAAAAATTATTTTACAGTATTATTTAAATATATAACGTTAGTTAATAAAGACACATATAATCCTTGTGTGTCATACAGCTTAGCTAGTTTAAGTCTTTGGGATGTTAAAAAAAAATCAATAATTTGGGATTTTGAAATTATTCACAACTCGTAAAAATTTACATTTATGAAATTCAGAAGAGTGAGACAAATTCGGGTAAATTTTCTTCGTTACTAATGAGATATTTGACTATACACTGTTCAGTAAATGTTCTATTTCTAATTAAAAAATAACAACTAACTCGCGCCAACTTTCTTAAAATACATTAAATGTTCCAATTGAGACACTGACAAAACAATTTCAGTAAATAAATATTTCTTTACACCTTAGTTCATTATTAAGGTCATGTACTAATACATTAAGCCAACTAGAGATGGTGGTCAGTTTAACAGTATAATAATGAGTTAGTAACATAACATTTGAAAAATTAAAATAACGCTGAATTTTAATAATCAGTTAATAATTACGATGCAATGAAATACAAATGTTAACATTTTAAATTTAACAAAAATAAACAAATTTTAACAGACCTAAAGTAGTGACAACTGCCTTGAACTCTTTAAGGTTAACGAAAGAGACAACATGATAAAATACATTGAATTAATTGATTTACAGCAATGATTGACAAACAATATAGGAATACTATCAAGCTTTTTATGAATTCCCAATGGATCTATTATAAGTGATCTCAGTATTCAAGTAATTTTATACAATTATTAGCTGTTGCTAAATGTGATTATAGAGAGGAGGTTAATTGTGTGGCCTATTAGTGTACAAGGCAATATGTATGAGGAAACCTGGGATAAGGAAGATAGTTTACTAACAAAATGTACACACCTTGCATTCAGGTTTCATTTGCAAAACATGCAGATTCTTGACTGTCTTTGTTCACATGTCTTATAGTTTTCACTACACCTGGATTGCTTCATAACCCCTAATACAACACTTTCTTTGGGGTAATAGTTTTTGGGCGACACACTGCTGCACATCCATTGCATACTACTTATGAGCCATGTTGCAAGTAGCATATATTATAACGGAAGCGAGAAATTAAAACAGCTTGACAGTTAGAACTAGAAGTTTATACAATGAGATTTGAGGTTGATTATTTTATATTTCCAGAATTAAAATTATTGTTTTATGTATCGGACGTTTTTTTATTAGAAAAAAATTTCCTTATTTTATTGATTAAGAATATCAATGACTAATCGTTGTAAACAAAAATTTTTAATCATATCTGTTTACAAATTTTACTTTATTAATTAATCTTTAGTTGACTTAATTTCAACATGACTGACATTATACTTTCATAATAATAATAATAATAATAATAAAGTGTTAACTAGCCAAAAGTTTATCTGCATACATTCAAGGTTATCATCACATGTTCAATATTTGTATTGGTGAAAATATTATTGTTTATTTGACTTTTAAATCAGTAGATATTAATGAATTGAACAGACTGTCCTTCTGATTTATGTTAGGCACTATTTGTTCATTAAGAATAAATCATTCTATTAAACTTATCACAGTATACATTTAAATTAGTATGAGGTAACATATCCACTTAGACGTATTATTCATTTGTGTTTTTTATTTGTGAGGTGAGTTATTTTTTCCAAAATTTATCAAGGATTTTAAAATTTACAAATAGAAATATGTAATACAGTTTATCGCTATTGCAATTTGATTAGGTTCTAATTATGCTTGTAGTGTAATTATTTAATAATATGATTGACAATGAATTGAATGTATTTTGAAATAGAAATTATTGATTACCAACTAATTGACTGTCATGCAAACTTAAGATGTTTCACTTCCATCTCACGTAGGATCTTGAGCTTGTATTGAAAAAAGCTTTAATTTAGGATGAATGAAGTAGCTCTTTCATATCTGCTAGTTTCCACTGGTTAGCTGATCCGTGAGTTAGGGTGTGGCTTAAGTGTGATAAAATATGTGACACAGTTGTTAGTTGTAAAAGCTTCGATTCGATTAATGTGGGTGTAATAAAAATTGAGTGAAAATCTATCATTGAGTTAAATTTTTTTTAATAATACCACAAAAATCAGCATAGTATATGCACTGAATGCCTCGATAATTAAACAAATTTGGCACTAGAAATAAAGACCATTTACTTACTTACTTACTTACTTGCGCCTGTTACCCTCAATAGGAAATAGGCCGCCCACCAGTGTTCTCAAACCTACTCTGTCCTCGGCTTTCCTTTCCGATTATGTCCAATTTTCATTTATTCTTCTCATATCTTTCTCTATTTCTCGGCGCAATGGTCTTCTTCTTTTCCAATGACAATGAAGCTTCCAAATAAGAGCTTGTCTTGTGATACAGTTAGGTGATTTCCGCAGTGTGTGTCCTATCCACTTCCGCCAGTTCTTCCGGATTTCTTCCTCCACTGGAATCTGGTTTGTTCTTTCCCACAGTAAGTTGTTGCTGATAGTGTCTGGCCAATGGATCTGAAGTATTTTGCGTAGACAATTGTTAATGAATACTCGCATCTTCTGGATGATCGTTTTGGTAGTTCTCCGAATTTCCGCTCCATATAGGAGAACTGTCTTGACATTTGTATTGAAAATTCTGATTTTGGTAATTGTTGACAGCTGTTTTAAAAGGTCATATGAAAGGAAGTAAAGGAAAACAGTTTAAGCTATTCAAACTAATTAAGAGTATTTTAACCCTGAATAAATGTTAAGCTTCGATTGGTGATTAATTTACTTTTTGAAGTTTATCTTTACTGCTTAAGTTACTCATAAGAAATTGAATGGTTTCTATTTTGGAGAATTATTTAAAACATGATCAGAAACTGATCAATACTTTATATCATCATTTTGATAGAACAGGACGAGTTGTTTTCTTTTTCTAAACATTAAGTCAATCCTTCTTCCAAACATCTAGATACATGAAGTCTACCTTTATACAAAAAATAGTCAGGTGAATGAATATAATCAGAAAAACCGGAAGTCACTAATTTGTAACTTGATCGTTTATTAGTTGTTTGTGTTTGTGAAACTTAGTTATATTGATGCTTAACTATTTAAAGGCACATCAAACAACAAATGCACTAGTTTACAGCTAACAAGCTTCATGTTTGTTTTGATTTTTACATGCATAACACTGATTATAATTTACTAAGAGTATTCATATGTAACTTAAATTTTTACTACAACTTCATGAATTGGCATACGACTTTAGTGAAGGAGTACACAAGTGAGGGCAACCGAATTGCATTTATCGAAAATTACAGAGTTACTCAGTAAAATAGGAAAACCATATCGTAAACGGTTCATTTGCAAATCTTCAATCCATCATCAATCCATTGTCTGACATTTCACTATTCATGAGTTTCATACAAATTCCATTGTGTTCCCACTCTTCCTTTCTTGATCTTCCCTCAACTTCTGCTGCCAGACATTATGTTTACACTCGCGTCATATACTACTTATAAGTAGTGCGCACCACACGACTAATCTGCTGACTTAAATATGTACAAATATGACTATTGAAATTAGTATCACAATTAGAAATCAAATATTATTAATTAGAGACTAAACATTAATATGATGAGAATATAAGTAGTGCAATAGTTATGTTATTCTGAAAACTATGCTACGATTACGGACACTAAAGGGTGATAGAAATAATTTTAACCGTAGAACATATTGACATTAGTTATTAAGATTGGAGACTTGTTTGTTGAGTAATTAATACAAACAGTTTATTTGGCATCAATAATTTGTCTCCATCAATGCTGACATATTTTAAACGATTTAAATAAGCTTAAGAAATGTTAGGTTGATTGCACATATAACTTCACATGATAACCATAATCAATAACTATTTTTAAAGTTTTTAAATCATAAACTGATCTTAGCAAGACCACTGTTGAAGACTGATAAGCATTTTACAGCTGTTTCATCCTAGTTATAAACTTTTCAGAAGTGTTCATCCACGACCCTGATAAAAATAGTCAAACGTGGGACCTTTGGTCTCGTTCAAGAACCCTTTACCGTGATCATTAAAGTTGGGTGTGAGAGAGTGATTCCCCTCAGGCTATATTAGATGGTCGTACAACAGTGAGTTATTTGAAGTTTTGACACTAATACCGTTGTGTGTTTGGTCATTGGTCTATAAGTCAAACATTCAAGTGCCAGACCAACGGTTCCGAGCCCAAATTTCTATGGTGAAGTTGTGGATGCCTACTCGTGAGGTGTCCCACATTAGGTAGAATCAGCCGTTTAATGATTCCAGGTCTTTGATAATGGTGAGGCTAAAATCAGTTAATGATTCAAAAACGATGGGCAATATATGTAGCACCGTTAATATATAAAATTTTTACATTTAGGTCTCATGGCTAGCAAATTATAATGTGTCCTTATGGATTTATGATGAATTTCCAAAGTTAATGTGAAGTGAATCAGAGTCATGATTATGTATGAAAACCATAGGAATAGCTTTTAGTGGCACAGCATTTGACTCCGATTTGAACGAACAATTAAATATGCTATCAAATAAATCTACCCTTTGATTTACTAGTATCATTCTTAGGCCAATCCTGTTTATGCGACGGTGGTAATTAAAAGCACACTACGGTTTTATGCGGAGGAATTTTTTTATTCACTCACGTAAGCGAACAGACAATAAAAACAAGTGTAAAAGTGAAGTTAAGAAAAGCAGAGGTGGCTAGTGGATCAACTGGACGCGATGACATATAACTAACTAAATTTAGTGAGACAAAAATATGTTAGACTGTGATAAGAGAAGCCAACAATGCACACAAACACAAATAAAAGATTTAAGTGAATAACTAGTAAGGTCGAAAGACGAATGAATAACTGCAAAAGAATGGATTAGTCAGTTTGTGTAAAACAAGCCGTGTAGGCTTGACATAATAGTACACGCAACAAACTCTCAACCAATCGGATATTAGACGTCACATCAACTAGTTGTTAAAATCTGTTTTTCCTTTAATTAATTAGGGCACAGACGACACTTGCATACAGACAAACATGGTGAAAATTCATTTAACACGGCATGCCTTTTGTACCCAATTCACTCATCAGTCTGTAGTGCCTCCACATATATTCCAGTTCGCTTACATCTAACTTGGTTAAGTCCTTTCGCTTAATTTATTTAACCAAGCCGTTGGCGTAGCAACAACTTATATGTACTATTCGTTCTTATTATTGTCTGGTTCGTATGTCATTTGACTTTGTCAATCATTCGTCGCTTTTATTCATGTGTGTGCATGCCTATCTCATTGATCACATGTCTGTCTTATTTTTGTCTGACCATATATTCTTTGTCATGCTCTATTTCTTTGAGTTGGCTCAACAGCCTTCTCCGATTCACGTCTCTTTATTCGCTGCTTCTCCAATTCACTTTATGGTGTGTCCCAAATAAACGTATTCAACACTACGAGTTCACCTTCTGATATATATGACCGTCAGACGCTACTTTTTACCGAGATTAAGAACACATCGAAATCGACACACTACAAGTCAAATTAAGAACTGAACATTATGCCGAAATCTCATCATCACTTCATTTAAAGTACGGAAAATAAGTAACTAACGGTCATCTCTTTTACAATGATCAACAGATTACGAAAAAAACATACTTGAGTGCAATTACTGATTCTGAATACTGGCAGTCAAATCAATTAATTGGTAAATGTAAAAGTTTCAGTGACTAATTTTAGACGACTGTATATTCTGTAAATATTTGTTACGTATTATCACTTCAAGTGAAGGACAAGATTGAAATCTGATTTTATCTTTCTTAGTACAAATACTTTAATCTCCATGTTGTGTTTGTAACCGATGTCTTACATCACGTGACACCAACAAAAAACCAATCAGGCTACGATCACGTGATAATAACGTCTAGGTAATAGCTTAGTTCCTATTGGTAATCCCTGCTAGACCCGTTGAGTCCAGAAATCTGTTAGTATCCTCCATTAATCGAACCATATATTTCAAACATACATGGTTTATTTATTGGCATACTTGACCCACAGCACACCAATAAGTGGAAAATAACAGTCATAGATGAACAGGCCAAAAAGTGGCTTTGAATAGATGAGAGTGCGAATAATAAACTAGCAATTAAAATTAAAAATAATAAATCTGTTATAATGCTGCTATGTTAGCTAATCGAAATCCTAGCGATCGACCAAATTCGAATATTACCATACGAACCCAAACACTGTTCCCAAATCTCTAATATATCAGAACACAACACCGTTAGATTTAGACTTAGACTTAGCCATGTCGGTAGTTGTCGACTACCAGGTTGGGGTCCGCGAGATGACAATAATCGATGGTTAGATACCCTGAATGACATGGCTCAAAACCGTTCGCAGTGGCGCCGATGCATTTATTCTTTGTGTTCTCTCAAATCCTAATCTTCTGGATTCTTCAACCCCCCTAGTTTTGACGTTCCAAACTTTTCTCACTGAACCATATTTCTTGAATATCTTCTAATCCTAACCTCTCCGATTACTTCTAATACCTTTACTACATCTACTACTATTGGATTTGAATTGACAATTATATCTCTGTGCTGATGTGGTATGGCGAAATGAACTGATGTACTTACGTACAAAGTTCTACGTTGCATCTGACTGACTGACTGACACCGTTAGATGAAGTTTGTGGGGTCGAGCACAGAAGGAAGAAATGAAGGAATAATAATAAGCTTTACAGATAATACATATTTATACAGTTAGGTTGAATAGGAAACAACATTTGAAATGCCATTGATAGTTAGGACGACCAATGGGAAACAACATTGAAGTATGTGACATTGACGGTTAGGACGATTATAATATTGACCAGTAGGAATTGACCAATAGAATTAGACTTCCAAAAATAGTTCTCTTAGGATATTCATCGAATATCCTAACAAAATCATACAATGGTAGGTTAATAAGTTAATCAAGATACGAATCAGGATACCAGAAATATACATAAGTAATTGCCATCCCTTCGATTTCTGTCCTCGGCATTTACCTATACAACTAATATGTTTTTATGTCAAAAACAGTACACTAACAACCTTAAATTAAGTCAAGTTTCTCATTGATAATCACTCCCCATTTAACATCTGACGAATTTCACCTGATTGTTGAAACCATGTTCTCTGTTATCCTATTTCATATGCTGATTGGATGTTGTTCGTATTGAGAATCAGATATCTTGACAATGTTTAACTTTCATTGAAGTTCCCTACTGTCTAACTTGCTACTTGAAATTTCTCTAAACATTAATTTTAAATTTGTTCTTGTCGGTATGATTAGACTACTATTCGATTGGATCGTCATTAGGCTTTTTACTCTAATATACATGAATATTCATACGAAACTGTTTAGCCAATCAAGGCAATTTGAGTCAATCATCACAATTAAATGAGATAGATTACGTCACTACACATAATAGACAAAAGTACAAGTTGATAGTAGAAAGACAGGTGTACTGATACCTCTCTTTCTACTATCAACTTGTACTTTTGTCTATTATGTGTAGTGATGTAATCTATTTCATTTCTAAAATTGCCTTGATTGGTTTAACATTTTCATCATAAATATTCATGTATATTAGAGTAAAAAGCCTGATGACGATCTAATCGAAAACAATCATATTGTTTGCTTATATCTGTGTTGTTCTAATTTTCACAATGGGAATCTTTAATAAACTACTTTTAACAACATAATAAAACTTACAAACTTTGCTAATATTAAGAATTAAAATTTTGTGCTCTTATTTTTTTTCCCTCATATTACAGATGAATACGTCAACAAAACAATACATTATTGGAATAGCAGGGTAATTTTTTCACTGAAACTTAATGAAAATTTTGTCTTATCTTATATATTGATAGTTTTATTTTCGATAAACGTTACTTTTGAACAGAGAAATGAGAAGACATATTTTATGAGATAGTACCATTTCGTACTTTTTCGTCAGTTACATACAAGTAACATGTTATTTGTGCAAATACAGTTTTGAAGGTCAAAATTTCTTATTTAGCATGACATTCACTCACTAGAACCATGGTAAACAAAGGTCAACATACAGTTGTTTTTGAACACATAAAGTTGGACTTTTCCGACCAATCAAGATAGCTTCGAGTAGTTTCAGTGTGTGTGGGTTTTGATGACATGTCACAACTTTAAAGGCTGATTTTGGGTCAATTTGATGATGTTTTGCAATGGACGAGGCTGGGTTTCTTGATCGATTTTGAGATGACGGGCTAGGTTGATGAATCATGGATTTGATTAACCATTTTGGAATATGTTCTCCTATCATGTCTTCCAATCGGCGATCTGTCCTCCCTAAGTAACTTTCTCCGCAGTTACATGTGAACTGGTAAATACAGTGGGATTTAGACTGAGTCGGTCTTGAAGACTTGATTGGGGTAATTGAGATCGATTGAGTTGTTGTGATAAGCCTCAGATTAGCTGCATTGAAGGTCTTTTTTATTGCAGCTGCAGTCTGTTTGGTTGTAATTTTCATGCACTGATCATCCTTGAAAGGTAACTGTAACGTTACTTTAACAGAAAAAAACTTTATAAATGATAGTTGAAATAATATTCAATGAAGTATATCCTGTTATTGAAGTGAACTATAATTATTGTGGATAATATTGTATTAACATTATTAAGCGACCGGAAGTGAAGTATTGATCGCTTGATAGTTAATGATTAACTAGGGTACATGTACCAGATTCCGTACACGTTTATAACTGGAAAAAAAAATATTTACATCCAGTGAGAATTGTATGATGAGGCTTTATGTGTATAACAAGAAGTTATGGTTACGTATTTTAAATTAAATCCGTTAACAAGCGATATCTCACCAACTGTTTTTTGATAACAAATCATTTTGATTCATAACCATGATTTAAATTTGACAGAGAAAATTAGGTTAACACTTTGAACATTGACGATAAAACTTTGTTTTATTATTTATTAGCTAGTTAATACCCTAGAAACCATAATTTCAAATGTAGCAGTGTAAGTTGTTAGTACAAAATGTTAAGACAACAACAAATGGTACTTATTAGATAAGAAATGACATAAAAGACTAAAGGATAGATTTATATTTCTTAAAAGCATGTATTTTTTAAATTTCAAACATCAAATAACCATTGGAATTCTATTACTACAATTTGATCACCGTAGAAGTGGTAGTCATAAGTATCTCTGGAAGTTTGTGCTGATTATGTTGTTCAGAAGAACAATGAAAGCTTCATAACCAAAAAAACATCCAGTTCCGAGAAGGAAACACCACCACAATAAGTATCTGTTTTTGTGAACCATAAAGTTACTATGATACTGTACTGTGGGTTTGAATCTCAGAAGTAGCATCAGGTTAATACTATGTAAAAGTTTCTCACTTAGAATTTCTAGTGAAGATGTCATCTGTTTGTTAAGTTAGAGTCACTTGAATCATTTTATGATTAAAACGATAACATAAACTATCAAGCGGTAACTACTTAGTTTACTTATAAAACTTGTACAAATTATTAGGCTAATTATAAATTAGATATCTAATTACTATAATTTTCTATTCAAGAATATTTCAAAATAAATATTGGTTTTGTATTTTAATTTATCATACTTTTATTTAGTCAACTAATATGTTCCTTGATTTTTTGTCTGAGTATTTGATACTATTGAAATTCAGAAGTTGCCACGTTGTCATTACAGTTTGTAGTGTTGCTTTTTAAAAATGTGTATGAGACAAGAGGGAAGTATTAAATGAACTTACTTTTTCTGTTTGCGTCATTTTAACGAGTTAATTTTCTACAGGATGGGGTCGCTAAACCCTTTCCCCAACCCTCCTCTTCTATCCGGGCTTGGGACTCGTTAGTAGCCCCAGAAGGGCTCCGGGCGGAGTAGTATAAAATAAAATTAACTTTAATTAGAAGCTGATTTACTCCGGCTCATTTCTTTTTTCCCGATATTCTAAATGTAATGAAAATAGTGTGATTGATGCATTCTTTGTGTTCTCTCAAATCCTAAACTTTCTAATTCTTCATCACTTTATCGTTTTAAGTTTATTTCACTAGATTCTACTTCTTGAATAATATGTTTTAATCCTCATCTCTCCGATTACTACCAATACTTTTACTACCTCTAGTACTATGGGATTTGAATTAACAATTAATTACATCTCTGTGCTAATGTGGTATGGCAACATGAAGTGATGTACGTGTGGTGGCCGATTAACTGCGTGTTCTTATGCTTCGTAATTAGATCGTCTAGAAAATCGTTACAAAGTAGCGTCTGACGGTTATAAATCAGAAGATGTATTCGAAGTAATGAATACGTTTATTTTTGGACACACCACAAAGCGAAGTTGAAAAGCAGCGAACAAAGCGTAGGAAACGACGTGAATTGGAGAGGGCTAATGAGCCAAATCCTAAGATTACAATGCGAACGAATGGGCGAAGGAATCGAATGAATAGGCGAAGCGCGTTGGAGAAGGCTAAGAGCCAACTCAAAGAAATAGAGCATGACTAAGAATATATAGTCAGACAAAAATAAGACACATGTGATCAACGAGATAGGCATGCACACACATGAATAAAAGCGAGGAATAGCTGACAAGGTCAAATGACAAGTGGGACACGTCATGTGAGCTCATACAAACCAGACAATCAGAAGAACGAATGGTAAATGTTCTAGTTGAGAAGACGTGACCAGTGGAGTTCAACCCTGTCGGGTGTAGGCAGTAACTACCAAAGACAAATGGGTGAGGTCGCGCAAAATCATAAGATCAATCAGAGTTAGACATTAACGCCGTTGGATGGCGGCCCAGTGGTCCGATGGTAAGGCGTTCGCCTACAATGCCAAAGGTCCCGGGTTCGAATCCTGCGAGGAGCTGGAGTCGTGGATGCGCACTGCTGAGGAGTCCCATACTAGGACGAAACGGCCATCCAGTGCTTTCAGGTTGCTAATGGTGGTCTAACAATGATGATTAATTAATGATTTCAAATGTGTAAAAACAAATGGGTTGGTTAAATAAATTAATCGAAAGGGCTTAACCAAGTTAGATTTAAGCGGACTGGAATATATGTTGAAGCACTACGTACGTACATATGTACGTACGTAGTATTACGTTGCTACTGACTGATTGATTTGCCGCTTTTTTTGTAATTCTTTCTTTATTAGAGCATCGAATTCTGGCAAGACAACAATCACTGGTAAACTTGCAACATATCTTCAATCAATTGGATATACTGTGACATGTTTACAAATGGATGATTATTATTGGGTAAAAAATTTTTTTAGTGTTTCTATAATTTTAATTTATAAAATTAATGATATTTTATTTCACTTTGTCTGTTTTTTTTGTAACGTACGAAAGTTAGGAGTGATATGAAATAGAGTTTATACTATGTACTATTATTTAGTTGAATAATTGATAAAGATGAGAACGATTTTAAAGAAATATTTCATTTACACATGGTGAAATCAATTAGAGAAGTATTGAAAACCATCGAAATATTATACATATGTGTTTTTTTTTCCTCATTTGAGGCTTCTTAACAATAAATATATATGGGATTGAATCAAGTTTGTTGGCGTGATGAGATCTTACTCTAATTTAAATGAATAATTGAGTAAATGATGAAATAAATCTCTCATCTAATCTCCATATATCATTCTTAGGCTAACTATATTTGTGCGGTGGCAGTAATAAGAATCCAAAGACGGTTTCGCAAATGAATTTATTTCATACAATCATTCACACTTTGAGTGAGCCACTTCAGTGCAATGAAGCATTAATAAATATTTATAGTCAGACAAAATAGGTTGAATAAGCAATGCACATATTCACGCAAGCAAAGACAATCAAGATATAAGCAGACAATTGACAAGGTCGATCGAAGTTTGAATAACTTGAGAAGAATGGTGTTACGTTTGTCACTAGGTACGCTTGAAGCTATTACGAGTTCACCTTAGTCGATAAAACGCGAACGAGACAATGACCCAGCGTCCAGGTAGGCTGGCTACCTTGATCCCAAAACTGTATAGCAGAAGTCTTGATAAGCGTAGAAAGTATATTCTACTACACCCAGAAATCACAATGCAATCAAGCACACATCTCTCGTTTATTTATGCATGATAGAAACGTCCTTGGGACGGTCACGAAAATAGCACACTAAAATACACAGCATCCAATCACAGCCGAAGATTTTCCTGGTGGGAAATGAAATCTCAAGGTCAAGTGATCAGTCCATGCTCGCAAACGTGAAATCCAAAATAATGTTTTTATCAAGCTAGTTCTGGGGATCTAACACTTCCTACTTCCACTTAACCTTGCTATTTGTAATATAAACTTTTCCCTATTCAACCGTGTTCTGGTTTGTGGACCTGTTGAGTGTATTGTTATCAGAGGATACTAAGCAATAGGAATAGTGTTGGGTATACAAAGAGAGATTTATCACAGTTTGTTTGAATGTTTTATGTAGGTAATATGATGTGCCTACCTTTTCATTTGAATAATTAATTTCACGTACCACATAATGCCAGCTACTAACTAAGCGGAGAATAAAGATATAAAGAATTTTTTTGAAATATTGAATGAAAAATTGTGCAATATTATGTCATTCGGTTGAATTTCGATTAAAATTAATAGTTTTATAGTTTTCTGTCACAGATTTGAAGTTATATTAACTAAAAACGAATTAGCTTTTTCTTTTTCATCGGGTAATGTTAATGATTCATTCCTAGTTGTGTTCAATCAGCGTTTTACTAAACATGATATATATAGATCAATAATGAAAATCTTATATTTCATATGTCTCACATCAGTGAGTATCTTTTATAGTTATATTCTAAGTTCAATTATCAGTCCTTATCAATAAACTAGTCTCTAAGTATCAGCTAAAACAACATAAACACAGTTCAGAAACAAACATAGAAACTCAGTGAAGGTAAAAGAAATAGAAACTATAATAAAATACAAATATTATCATCTCAAAATGGAATCGAACAGACTAACAAAATGTACAACTGAAGGAATCAATAAGAACGAATTACAACTGTGTATACATGGAGGAATTTTCACAAACAATGACTTCAAAAATGGATCTTACACTAGCCAGGGAGCATAAATGAATACTGCATATAAATATAAAAATATATAAAAATTTACTGTACATTCCTAAGAATCTTTTTGTATAAGGATATTTTGTGTATATATGTGAGCATTTGAGCATTCTTGTCATTGATATTGCGGAATGGAATTAACCAGTCTGGTTAGTTGTATTCAGTCAGTAGCTTAGTCTATATAAGCTGACTGAGTTTAAGTTTCACTATGAACATTGGATATTATGATATAAGTTTGAACGAGGTCAGTTCATGCTAATTATAGTGTATATTGAAAATAATTGTTCTATTTTCAGCCTTATCATGATAAACGACATGTACGAGATCCTATGACAAATCAACCAAATTTTGACTGTGAGTTTTATGACTTTATTAGTTTAATTTTAATTGTGAATTCAACACATACATTGATTCACAGAGTGATGGAATGTTTTGCAACAAATTAACTATGTGTCATGTCGAAATTCATCATATTTAAAATAAAAAAGACAAACAGATAATATATAAACTTGAAATGAAATTAGTCACTTTTGAAACATTTTCTTTCACTGAATAAATTTGTTTTTCAACTTACCATTGAAAATTGATCTAAAATGTTTGTTTTTTTTAGTTAGTTTCTGTTTCATAGACTAACTAAAAGATCATGATTGGACATCTAAAATAAATTTGAGTTGCACTAACTGATTCAGTCATTCAATAACAACGTAGAACTTCGTACTGCATACGTCTGTTCAAGTTGTCATACCACATTAGCACAGAGATGTAATGGTCATTTGAAATCTCATAATTGTAGAGATAGTAAAGGTATTATCAGTAATCGGAGAGATTCGGGTTCGATGATATTATTCAAGAAGTAGAATCTAATGAAATAAATTTAAAAAGAAAAATATAACAGTGATAAGGAACTCTGAAGGTTAAGATTAGAGAGAGAACACAAAGAAAGAATGCACTAACATTTAACAATTTCAAAATCTTTATGATTTATTATGACAGAATTTGGGCATACAATTTCAGAGCATTTGAGTTTATTGTAGATAGTTACAAAAAACATTTGAAACCATGAATCAATTAATGTTAGACTACCATTAGAAACCTGAGATCACTGGACGGCCGTTTCGTCTTGGTATACGACTCATCATCAGTGCGCACCCACGACTCCTGCACTCCACAGGATTCGAACCAAGGACCTTCAGTTAGGTGCGTGAATGCCTAACCTCTAGACCAGTGAGCCGGTATCCGACAGTGTTATTGTCTAGCATCAATAACTAGGGAATTACTGAAATAAATTTCAATCTTAAACACATCAAATTCATACTTGAACAATATTATCACAATCAAACTACAACCGATTCACTGAATATGAAATTTCCATTGTCTAATTAGTTTGTAAGAGGTTTTGAATAATTGATCATTTGACTGATCAAAATCAAACAAGAAGTGTAGAACTTCTCAATAGTATCAATGGTTCATGAAGATCACGAAAATTAATAACTAACTACACATGACTGGAGGAGGGATATTAATTAAGAAACCAATTGTATTAGAGAATACTTGGCCTATATCATGACTACGTTCGCATTTTTTACTTAATCATATTTTGCTTTCTCAATAATAAGACAACAGTTATTTCAATGTATTTTTTGTTTCAGGTGAATCAGCAATCAACTGGGAAGGCATTATTTCTTTTATTAAATTATGGTGTGAACCACAAGTATCAGAAAAAAAAAACAGAATACTTTTAATTGAAGGAATATTAATCATGAATAAAATGTAAAAGTTTATAAACGTTTTTGTTGCTTAACATGACAACTTTGTTGTATTAAATACTGTTTGAACTTTTCTTAATTTATGTAGAGGAAGTCATTTTTGTACTATGATTAACTGGAGGAGTAGAAAACTGAAATTATTACTTGGATTGATTCATTGGTAACTAGCGAAATGGTTGTTTACTAATCAAAGTTGGGCAGATTTTATCAACAAATTTACAATATGATATCTAGCCTAAGAAACGTGATATCTTATAGATAACATGTCGATGCTGCGCTATCAAAGACAGCTCACTAGTAGCTCTGAAACTATTCTTTATACTTGTTGGAGCTCGTAAGCATAGGGATATCTACAATCATAAGGTTTCAGTGCCATCACATATATTTGAGTTCGCTTACATTTAATTTAGTTAAGCCTTTCGATTAATTTATTTAACCGAGCCATTTGTATAACAATAACTTATATGTACCATTGGTTTTTAATATTGTTTGGTTTGTATGAGCTGGTACGACTGAACACACTGCTTAAGCCTACGCGCTTATTCATGCCTATCTCGCATGTTACATGTCTGTTTTGCTTTTGTCTGACTAAAAAATTCTTGGTCATGCTTTATCTCTGGGACTTGGCTCACAAGCCTTCTCCACTTCGCTTCATCCATTCATTCGCCAAATCGCTTGCTTTCAGGCGCTCGCATGACAATTTTATCTTTGAGTGCTTGTAGTCTGCTGATCTAATTGTGGTGTGCCAAAATAAACGTATTCAACACTTCGGGTGCACCTTCTGATTTATAAACCGTCAGATGCTATTTGGTAACGATTGTCTGGATAAGGTAATTACGAAGCTTAAGAACACGTTGAAACTGGCCACCACGAGGGTAAGTCATGCTTCCCATGAGACTCAAACTAATGCTAGCAAATTTCTTAGAGACATTACTGATGAGGTATGCCATTAATTGTAATTATCAAATAGTCACTAACCAAGAAGGCTGTATGTTGTGACACGGTTCAGTTTAACAGTCAATGAATTCATGGACTGACAATATATCTTGGTTTGGGTTTCTCTAGCTTTCTTTTAGTCTTTTCCTGTATATATATATGCTTTTGTTCAATATGTCTGAAAACATAATTCAATACATAAATAATCGTTATCACAACTGTCATCTGGTTAACTACAGGGAACTTCGGAAAATAATGAATTTGCGGATATTTCTGAAGATAACTTATGAAGATTTGCTGCAGAGACGAAAGTAAGTACGTTTGGTACATTAAATGAATTTTTGGTGAATAGATGGATGTAAGAACAAAATTATAAGGCTTTTCACTTAAAAAGCAGAAAAAACAGAAATTGACTAAAACTTCAGAATTCAGAACCAGTATTAGGTTAGTCGAACTATATGCATGAAAGTCACCAGTGGTTAGAGACCTTGAACGACATGGCTCAAAATCGTTTGCAATGGCGCAAGTGCATTCATTCATTGTGCTCTCTCAAATCCTAATCTTCTGGATTCGTCAGCACCTCTACCTTTGTCTTCCTAACCTTATCTCACTGAATTATACTTCTTGTATAATATCTTTAAACCCTAGTCTTCTTCATTACCATTAATACTTCTACTATCTCTATCACTATGGGATTTGATTTGACATTTGCGTCTCTGTGCTAATGTGGTATGGCAACCTGAACTTATGTATATACGTACGAAGTTCTACGTTGCGACTGACTGACTGACTATATGCATTCAAATCAGATGATATTAACTCATAGTTCAGGAAAGCCTTTTTTAACACCTCTGACAAGTTATCATAATTCGATTGAATTTGATTGTGAAAGTATATGTAAAATTAGATGAGTTGTTTGGCAGTAAATAAATCATAAAAATAAGTAGTTCTGTGCGTCAGAGACATTGATGCTAACTTCATTAGCTTTGGTGGACACATCCTAGCTGAAGGCGCTCGATTAAGCATCCACACCAGATCACTGTTGGATACATCATGTTACGCATCCCTTCGTATCAAATAGTAAGCTAAGTTCACACACTCCTCGACATCTTAGCTATCCTTCAAAAATATCTTCGACCTTCTTAATTCTAGACTTTTGGTTCTAGATATTCTCTATCTGAAAGGTGTTACGGACAAAAAGCATTATTAAGTCCTGAATATACGTGACCTCCCCAGTCATATAGTAAATTAAATTCGAGTTTGTTTGGAGTATTCTGTTGTCAATATTTATGACTGGATTATTTTAGTCTTGGCTGGTATACGAACATATTCTGCTCACTGCTCCGATATAATCATTATTACATAAGCTGATATAGAATAGATGGAATTTGGATAGAAGTGGAATTCAGGATGCGCGTTTCATCTTGTTTAGGACTCGTCAGATGGATATAGCTGCATTCCAGATTTCAGTTTCACACCGCAACTCGAACCTAGTATCGTTTGCTTCAACATGTTAAAATTGCCTCCGGTTACAACACTAGCCACAGTTTTGAGGAAATTTCAGTTTCCCCACTATTGATTATGTAAGCAATGACTGAAGGCACCTATTGATATTACGCAGCTAATGATTCTTACAGATTTAATTCTTACACGATATATCTCCGATCTTAGATATTCCACAACCTAGAGTTATTGCGCCTAAACCGGAAAATGTTATCAATATTTATTTATAATATGCTCATAAAAAATGTTTCATTTCGTAGTGTTTTAATGAAGATATATCTGATAAGTCTGTAGTTAACTTATAACTCAAGCTTTGGTAGTGAGAAAAAGTATAGGGTTATTGAACAAATGCAATGATTTCATTTCACTCTAGGTTAAGAAAATATCGTACACCATCTCCACCCGATTATATTGATAAATATGTTTGGCCAGCATATGTAAGAACACTAGACATGTTGAAGTATTCAAAAGACTCTATATGTAAGTGTAAATTTACATCTGTAAATGTTTTTTTTTTGTGCATACAACTCGACTATTTTATTTCTGTGAATTTCATGCTTGTAGTAAGTTACACTGGATATTAACATGTGGACAGAACATTTGAAAAAATATTGAATGTTTATTTTAGTATAGATAAAAGGTTCATTCACATCGAACACATCTCCAAACAAAATATTGGTTTCAAACAACTAAAAGGCAGTTCGACAATCAACTCTATGTGATGAAAATAACTGCTTATATGAGGATGAAGCATGTCTGGTAAATTACTAGCAGATTTCATCCGCAAAACATGATACTTGATCAAGAAGAATTGGAAACTATCATTCCGAAATCAATCATCAATTGAAAGTAGACAGTTACTAGATTCAGAGTCATGGTACAGTTAGATAGGGAGTTTTTCTACAGTTATTAATAAATGTGTGGACTAAAAGGAATTTTTCTACACACATTACTAAAGTTTTGGAATGTGGATGTTGAACATCATGAAATCGGCTTACGATATGAGATGAAGAACTTACAATTCACTGTTTTGAATTTCAACCGTGCTTCTGGAGAGGTGAGATTGGTCTGCATAGCTTCTACTCATTCTACTACAAACATTTGCTGTAATTTTGTACATTTTGTCATATGAATTAACACTGCTAGTACTGGAATGTGATGAGCAATGAGGATATTGGGCTGAAAACTTTGTCTACTTCATTTTCATTCTTCATTACCTAGGCCATAGTCAATACCATATAGGTATTATAGTTGTTTAGATTATCTTAAATAGAAACAGTTTTAGCCTCTATGAGATTATAAGCTTTGAATCTATTTTTAACACTTTCTACCATTTGCGCCTAAACATCGAAAGTAATTTCCCACTAATTTTGTTTCCCTTTTTATGTTAGATTATTTCGATAGTAAAAATGGAACTGAAACTCTATTCCGAGAAATTTGTCAATGTGTCAATGAGAAAATAGGTTTTACAAACGAATGAGACAAACATTTCAATGAATTGCCGAAATAAACTTTTTTTTTTAACATAAATTGATGATACAAAATTACTTAATTGTAGATGTGTGTTTTTGAAATATTGCTAATAAATAGCACTAAGGATGCATAATGATTAGACCATAAAAGAAGTGACTATGGCATGAATTTAAAGTATGAGGATATCGAAATATTTAATCTCAATATGATTGTCATATATTTCGTGACTTGAAATTAAAAACCATTCGATTTTAATGACTACGAAGAATCATTTTTATAGGAACTGGTAAGTTAAAATGGATGTAGTCCAATAGAAACACTCTCTTGATTTGTGTTAATATACCATCAACTGCAGACTGTTATTTCTAAACAGTAAGAATTCGCGAATACGTAAGCTCCAAATTAAAAACTAACTTACGCTATCCTATATCATTGATATCTATCTAAATTACCACTTTTTAGATGTAGTGAGTAATTTTGCCGTAAAATAAAGAACTTCCAGATGATCTGATACATGTTTCATTGTCCCAGTTAATTTTGTCACAGATTTATTGATAGAGATGATTTTAAATTATCTGGGATTGACCGTTAGATTGACTTAGATCTTAGGTAGAATTTGGGAACTGGACATAATCTCATCTGACTGGTGTCGTTCACCGATTGACACAATTTATAAGGACAAAAGTCCTCTTGTGACAGTCGCAAAGGTATCAGTTTGACTAATATATTGTCTAAAATGTTAGCTTCGATAATTCTTAGACGCCTAACTAGAGCTCGCGAAGAGCAGACTAGGGGGAACCAGGCTGGTTTCAGACCAGCACCTGTCCGTATAGACCACATATTTACTCTTCGTCAGGTCTTACAACATGAACACATGTTTCGGCGTCCCACTATAGTAGTATTCCTTGACCTTAAGGCGGAATTCGGCTATGTATATCATGAGGTCCCATGGTAGTGTGTCATTGAAAGGTGTACCAAAGAAGTACATTAACCTTATACAAGCTCTCTACTCGAACACCACTGGTCGAGTGAGAGCTTATGGCGAACTGTCATTATAACTAATCACTCCAAGTGTTAGTCGAAATGCGAAATGTTGCTCCAAGATTGACTTGTATCGGCACCTAAACTAGTGATGGGGAGTAAAGTGGATGGGCGTGTCGACCGCTTTTCTTACCTCGGAAGTCTCATCAGCGCTGATGGCCTGGTGAATGACAAAATCTCAGCACAGATACAGAACGCTCGATTGGCTTTCCGCCAACTTGCATCACTTATGGCGTAGGTGAGATATCCGTCTACTAACCAAAGTACGCATGTACTGCGCAGTAATTCGCTCCGTCCTACTGTATTGCGGTGAAACATCGCCAGCCAGAGTAGATATTTGTAGGTTGCTAGTTTTCGATCATAGGTGTCTCCGAAACATAGCTCGTGTATCCTGAGACAACCGAGTAAGCAATACTGTTTTTAGGAAAAGGGTATTAGGTAAGGATGGCAGATCATTAGATAAGGTAGTGAATGCTCATCAGTTGATGTGGTTGGGACATGTGTTACTCATGCCCAGCCACCGAATGCCTCGATGAGCTATGTTGTCTAGTGTAGTACGTTGGAAGAAAGCTAAGGGAGGCCAAACCAATAAATGGCACAAATTCGTGAAGTAAGTGACAATGTGCTATGTTGGTAAGTGTCAACTACCTGGTTGGTCTCTGCGAGGTGATAATAATGGATGGTTAGAGACCATGAATGACATGGCTCAAAAGCATTCACAATGGCGCACGTGCATCCATTCTTTTTGTTGTCTCAAGTCCTAATCTTCTGAATTACTGATGATGTCTATCTTTCTCAACTTACCTCACTGAATTATACTTCTTGAATAATTTCTTCGAATCCTAATCTCTCCGATTACTTCTAATACTTTTATTACCTCTACTACTATGGGATTTGAATTGACGATTGCGTATCTGTGCTAATGTACTACGGCAACTTGAACGGACGTATGTACTTACGAAGTTCTACGTTGAAACTGACTGACCGACTTCACCTAGTGATTTCCTGACATAGATCTTTTAAAAGACTGACGAGATGCATCCTTTCTTAAACGCCAGTCACAAATGTGAGAATTTTTTTGATTTGTTGAAACACCAGTAGTTCGCTCCGTCCTACCTTATGGCTGTGAAACATGGCCAGTCAGAGTAGAAGATATTCCTAGGTTACTGGTTTTCGATCACAGGTGTCTCCGAAGCATTGCTCGAGTATCGCGGGACTACCGAGTGAGAAATGCTGCCATTAAGAAACGACTACTAGGTAGGGATGGCAAATCAATAGATGAAGTAGTGAAACTTCATCAGTTGAGGTGGTTGGGACATGCGTTGCGTATACCTAACCGCCGACTGCCTCGTCGAGCTATATTTTGCGGTGTAGGAATAGGTTGGAAGGAAGTTAGGGGCGGCCAGACCAAAACATGGCACAAATCCATGAAGTCACTGACAAATGGACTGAGTCATGTTGGTAGATGTAGGCTACCTGGTTAGGGTCCGCGAGACGAAAGTCACCAATGGTTAGAGACCTTGAACGACATGGCTCAGAATCGTTTGCAATGGCGCAAGTGCATCCACTCTTTGTGTTCTCTCTAATTCTAATCTTCTGAAGCCCTCATAATCTCTATCTTTCTCTTTATAAATTTATCTCAGTGAATTATACTTCTCGAATCACCTCTTCGAACCCAAATCTCTCTGATTACTTCTAATACTTTTACTACCTCTACTACTATGGGATTCGAATTGACAATTTTATCTCTGTGCTAATGCGGTATGGCAACTTGAACTGCTGTACTTACGTGCAAAGTTCTACGCAGCTGTTGATGATGTTGAAACATAGTTATTTAGTTGTTCAGGGGAGTCTACTTCTTTTGTCAATGTCGAGTGTGACGACTGAAACTAATACACTTCTATGGGTCTCTCTGAAAATGGACTTCTTTACCTCGATGATAAAGTAGACTAGTGGTTAGAGAACTTAAATTTTAACAATGTGACTAGAGGTTTGAGATTCAATCCACCTACTTCAATGTGTTTACCGTTTACTTTTACAGCACTCTCAGGTTAATTGACCGAAATTGGTAAGGTACTGTAAGTAGGAGGTATTTGGCCACACGTTAGGTTTGATAAATTAATTTGAGCATTTAACTGTTAAAAAAATGCACCGCTAATAATCATTCATTTAGATTTACAGTAAGTTGTTACAGTGTTATAAAAATCAATGTATAGAGAATGAGTTTTCAGATGCAGGATGATGGGAACTCAGTTGTACAATTTGCAGCTATTTTTCTATAAATTCTGAAACAATATCAGAATATATTTTCTTTGCAGCAGTATTTGTTGGAATGTAATGACCACCATCATGTACGAATACTTTTGGTTCAGATAAGAATACACCCAGTGCTTCCTCAGACATTTCTAAAATTATGAAAAAAAGTTTAACATATTAAAAAAATAATGTTCCTTTCCGGATATCATTCCAAGCTGCTGCGGGATGGGAATAATTTATATGGCCGCCTAACTGTATTTTTAATTGTTCCTGAAACATATTCTTAGCTATTCTATCATTAAGTAGAACCGTAACAGGTTTCCTTGCGGTGTCTTTCCTGCTTCCGGTAAGTTGCAAACAGATAGCACTCGCACTTGAGCATGGTCGGAATTTAGACATGTGCCCCAGAACGAGCAACAGTCTTTTATTAAACCCCTCCATCGATGGCTTATAGCGATGTGATTTAGTTCGGTCCACCGTTGAGACGACTTTGGGGACCGCCAGGTCTAAAGGTGCTTTTCCTTGATATTGAAGTTAGTGTTTGATAGATATAGGCATAGCTGTAGCAGACAGTCGCCATTATCTGTTATCTGAGCTGCGACACCATAAGATCCACCCACGTGTCTTTCCTTCTAACTTAGTCTACCTACTTGAGGATTGAAGTCACCAGCCACTATTACTATATCAGAGTGCTTAACCTTTTGGAGGAGGTCCGAAAGGTTTCTGTAAAACTCATCTTTCACCTCGTCTGAACTGCAGTCAGTGGGAGAGCAGGCAGATACGACGAAGAGGCAACGGAGAGTGTCCCTATCTTTTCGAATCTCTACTGTCTCTTTCAGTTGGACAGCGCATAAGCGACTATCAACTGGAATTCAATCTCAGAGCTAGTTCTGTCCTAGGACTTAATGCTATACCTACACCAAGGAGGTGCCAGGAAGCAGCAGCATTTCCTGATACACAAAGAGTAAATCTAGGTGGTTCAGTCTTTTGACAGTGACGTCAAGTGAAGGACGCTACTCGGATTCTGTGTGCGTGTTTCCTAGACGCAGGATACATCGACGGCGCGAGATTCTAAAGTCACAGCTAGGGAAAACTGTTGTCCTATTTGACACAATGTCCGTACATGTAGTTTAGAACGGGGTTTTAGGAGATCAGGAATAACGTTTCGTGAACTCATACCGTTTGCATTAGCAGTGCAGGGTGTTAAAGGGATGTGAGAAGGGTGAGTCATGGAGATAAGAGAGATGTTAGGGGGTGTAGGAAGGATTTGATTATGACAGATTTGGTCTCGCGTGCTACTACGCGTATGAGGGCGGATATCACTTTCCAGCTGCCCACACCGTAGAAGGCTGCTTCGTGAAGAACCTGAAAAGAAAGGTAGATAAGTGTGGGTCTTAGAGACCTGGGAGCGTAACCGCAGAGCCCAAGGGACAGCTGATTGAGGTCGGTCGCTCATGGCCTTTTTATGGGAAGTTTTTAAAGAGTTAGCTCAGCTCTTTTTAAAAACCTTAGCGCCGGAGACGGAAGTCCGTAAGGTGAGGTGATGTGTGACATTTTCGGGTCGACCTATTCTAACCCCTTTCTTTCTTCTGAGAAGGCAACATTGCTGCAGATGCTGGTTGTCCGATGGAAACACCTTGCTGCTGTCACACCCCTCTACAGTCAGTAATACGACTTCGCCATAAGACCTCATGTTGCTGATTTTAGTCTCGTCGTTCTCCAATCGACCTGCCTGACATGGTAAAATCTACAGGAACATACATTCCAGCTAATATAGCTCAGTTGGGTCGTCACGATAGGCAAGCCTAACCACCAAGTCAAGGTAGTCGCTGCGGTCGGGTCCGTAACTAGGAAAATGCATGCGTAACACTGTTAAATACCCCTTCGATTAACAGCCTGAGTTTCGAGTAGCCAATATTAAATAGCCAATATTACATAGGGGTAGTCACCAGACTACTTGCACATTAGTTCTTTTCATGTACGCGACTGTTTATCAATTTATGGTATTGATAAGCTTTCAGAGTAAAACTAAACAGTAAACTGACCTCGGGGGATAACGGAATCTGCTTCACCATAAATGATCAAACTTCGTATTGATGTTTTGTGGACATAAATAGCTTGGTGAGGCAAACAACGACTGATGAAAGGTGCGACCAATATCGTAAATTTGATTGGTTCTATGCTGCAATCTGCAAAATCTTTAGAAATATTAACCAAAACATTTTATGAGACTACGAGCAGAATACAATCTACCTAATAACTAGTTACAGTCACATTCAGCAAATGAGTTATCAGTCCTTAAAATAATAGTGCACAACGCCCTTTCAAGTTCATTGTTGTCCAGCACATCTTGGTAATAACTGGTGGGGGAATACCAATGACGTATTCAAGATTTCAGAAACACTAAAGCAGGGGAAATTGGGATTACATGTGAACAAACATGAATCATTATCAAGACATATTTTAAGGAACCTGACATCGCAAAACTAATAAAATGAATCAAGGGAATCGAAAAATCCTTGTTAAAACTTTTCCAAATTAGCTTTCTTTTTCATCAGCTTACTTTCAGCAATAATTAAAACTACTACGTTAGTGGAAATGCGGTTCATTAAATCTGTATACAGTACAATTTATATACAATACGAAAGCGAGTCAAGGTTAGTTATTTACCTAATACGTCAGTCAGTCAGTTGCAACGTAGAACTTCGTACGTAAGTACATCAGTTCATGTCGCCATACCACATCAGCACAGAGATGGTATGGCGACATGAACTGATGTACTTACGTACGAAGTTCTACGTTGCAACTGACTGACTCTGGTGTCGCATCATTTGCGGATAAATCTTTCGCCTTTTACTGAATACGCGAAATATAAGAATAAAAGAATCTCTAGTGAGGAAAATTTTTAACATTATCAACTCGATGCTGAAATGTGGATAGAAAGGAAATTTAAACACATCTATTAACAGGTCGAAAGTAACTACAGGATACTAAACTTTTTGAATCAATCTGTGATCAGAACAAGGAGGAACTATAAACACCATGACAAATCCATAAAGTTCAGGTATCATTTATAATAACTGTCAACACGAAACTAGTCAGTTAATCTTACAAGAGAGTACGAGTCATATGACGAGTATGGTGTGAAACCTCTGGAGATGGTAAAAATAATCTTAATTTGTAGACAACTTTTGTCATTATTTGTAACTTTCCACAATTCCATTCAATTCATACAAACAATATACTGACCAAATAAATTATGAGAAGACAAATAATTATTTCGATAAACCATACCGTTTAATCTATGCTCCATCATAATTTGAAGTATAAGCAAAAATGCTGCACCTTGACTGAAACCAACCATCCCATCGAATGGACCCTGAGATAAATGAATGTACAGATATCTCGAACCTGTTCTTCAATATATTTTTTGACGGCTGCTAGGGATTCGCAAAAGCCTGCATCAGATGAACTACTTTCTTGGGCTGAAAATTCCATATGTTTAGAAAACCACCAAGCACAACCTTTTGGAAGCAAGTTCCTGATTAATGGACCACAGACTAACCATTGGAACAATCATTGATAACATTTGGGGCAGACAAAAATTCTACGTAAAAATTCAAGAATGGCAAATTTAACTAACTGAATTCACAATATTTCTTCAGTGATTTCCTAAATCCACCGGTTTTTTCCCTAAAAACATCCGAATTTTGTCTACACAGGAAAACAACTTAGATTTGCATCAAAGAGGATACCTGTATCCATGTAGACATAACACCTGAAGTTCATCTTAGACGAGCACCAAACACTTACTCTTAAAGGTGGCATTGGTTTCGAAATGTGAGGGTCTAATATCCAGTATCCAATATCTCTTTTCAGGAGTTAGAACAAACCAAATAATTTTTTAGGCATAGTTGACTCCTAGTATGCATCACTCAAGTTTATAACGAACTAACACTGTAAAAAAGATTGTAGCGGCAAATAAATCCCCGAGATAAATAGGTCTGTGCTTACTTATCCCGATTATCCATCAAGCAGCATAGGATGCCAACCAACATCCTGAAACCCACTCCATCCTGATACTTCCTTTGGAATTCTACACAGTTGCTAATCATCTTTTTGATCACTAATGCTTTCAATTCTCATGATGATGTGTTCTTTGGTCTTCCTGGTCTCCAAATACCACTAGGTCGTAACTTTTCATTTCTGCCGCGAATTGGACGGCTCTCCCGGTCTTCCACAATGTACGAACATTCCATATACCAATATCGATGGTTGCTCTGGTTTTCAGTGGGGGCATCGGCCTCGTCACTCTTGAAGAAACTTAGGTTTAATCACTAGGCGTCATAACTCTTCTAAATGAAGATCTTTCAACTCTCAGGACAGATTTTTAATGTTTCGAATTGTTTTTTGTGGTTAGCATTTTTTGGCGAGATAGTTTTCTACTGGATGTGGTAGCTAACCCTGTGGCCAACCCTTCTTCACTATTTGGGCTTGGAATCCGGAGTAGCCCCAGAGAGGCTCCGGGGGTGGCTAAATGGGCCTGTAGGTCTTCGAAATTGATTCTGATCTTACTAGTTGCACTAGATAAACCATAACCGAGGGAAGTTGATCACTCGTAGACACCAGACCGATATCAAGGTACCTTACTGCGTATCTCTATCGTCGTTTAGAAATCTTAGTTACTCAATTATTGACATCTCAACCATCATACAATTATTCCTTCGTCTATACTCAGTCCTGTCTTCTGCTTTGTCTTGGTTTTATGTATTCTCGATTCGAAGGGTTTTACGCTAGAAAGTATTGTCAAACTTGGAATATCTGTGACATCTTACAAGTCAAAGTCTTCTTAGTATCGATATGACCAGAGATTGTCAAAAAATTTATCATCTATTGCATAGTTGTGTACATGAGTTATAAATTCCGAACCAGTGTATTTGGACGGTGTTACGGACAAAAGCCTTGTTCATCTCCAAATATCTGTGGCAAACAAATCGGTGGGCTCAAAGTTTTCAATGTTTGACTTGTTCTTCCTAGTTTATATTTCGTTGACCTATTTGTCACATACCAAATAACGTGGAAATCAATAGGCGGTGAAAGCCTGAAAGGTAAAAGTAATATCTCACCTATATATAGAGAAAAATAATTCGACCATGGTGACACAAAATTGAGGTTTGTTAAACTAGGGGACTGTTTCACGAAGCAATGTCAAATTTGAGGGAATTGTATGCGAAGGTTTACTCTGTCTTTCCTCCATCAATTGCAAGACAGTTCCGAAGTTTAATTCTGAGACATCTCTCGTCACAACCGTACATCACTGTAAGGCGTAACATAACTGCAGTTATCGCTTGTCCTGTTGTTTATAAATATGCTAAAATTAAAATATTAGTTTACACAGTTTGTCTCTTCCTTACTTGAGAGCTACTACTAAAATGAATAATGCTAAACTCTTTTGACAACTTACAAAATTATGTACAAAAATGGCTTAGCAAGCTTTCGGCATGTCGATTTTCCAAAGTTTACCGTCACACGATTTCTCACAGCTAGAGGCACATTTTGCGTATACTGATAAAGATTTGGCAGGTTCTTTTGTCTCATCCGAGAAGTTGAAGTTATTTATTTACATGTATAGGTAGATTCACGAGATTCCCAGTAGCCATACTAATAATCTATACGGGAGCTGAGGTATTAACGAGATAGTGGAAGCATTAAGAACACTAGAGAACTTTTAGAAGCTTGGCACTCAGGTCAATCAGCAATCAACAAACACATAGATACTGACCCAACTTATCAAATGATCAGAAAAATTATAGGCGATTTATGATCAAGAATCAGGTCAAAAGGGGGATACAGTCAAAACAAAGGCGCAAACATCGACTAATTTGAGGCCTACACCAACCAATTAAGATCGAGGTTAGCAGAATAAGCTACAGGTCAAACATGGATAAATTCGAATACTTTTTATCTATCAGAAGTTTGTGCTGATAATGTTATTCAGAAGAACAATCAAAACTCCAAAACAAAAATGTCGAGCTCTGAGAACGTAACATCACAACAATTGACGAGAACTCACATTAAAAACTAGGTAACCATTTATGACAAGACCGGTGAATCTGAGCTATTTAATATGTTATGGAAATCTATAGTCTCTAACAGAATACGTTGCATAGCATATCAACATCACTGTGGCTAGTTAAGACGATCTGGTGTACAGTCCTGTCGGAAAAAAAACCAAAATCACACTGCTCTCAAACTACACCTAATCCAACTCCTTATTTGCTGTTGAGAGTATATCTAAATTGTTAAGTATGTAAATTGAACATGAGGCTAATATGTATCCATTTTTTTTGCCATAAAAGTTAAAAGCCATTATATTTATCAACTAGGTTTACTTTTGTTTTCTGCCCTTATTTTTGTTAGTACTCATTTAATTTAAGGATTATAGGCACTGTGAACTTGTAGAAATGATATACAGTAATTATGGTCGTCTTTACATTCTTTCATGTCAAGCCCAAGTGTATTTTATAAAGCTTGTAAACCAAGAATTGTTCTCTTTTAACGAATTTACATGACTTTTCTTATAACTGAGCAACTTGGAGTCAGGTAACATTGTCTGTCCACTTAAACTATCGTCATTCAGAGTGCGATGTCACATGCATGAACACTAGTGAGCATCACTGTAATATTCCCTTGCCTTTTGTCCTATGATGAAAAGTTTGTGTGCTAAAACTTCACACTGAAGCTGTTTTATTCCACGATCTGAATGAATACCTACTACAACAACTTCGCAGGCATTCGATATAAATAAAAAGAGGGATCACTACTAGCTCTAAATTATGAATATTGTCATTGAAAGAGAAGACTGATTTATCTCTACTGTGTTTTAAGATCCTTTGAATATTATTTATCTACAAGCACGACAACTTATTTCTGTTGTTTACTCCAAAGTCGATCCTTTAGTTTTGTACAAACCGTTTAATCGACGTCTCTCAAGGCTCATTGTTTAGACTATTTTTATTCCTAGTGTGTATACACTGCTTTCCCTGGCAGGCATTTCCAAAACTTTTCATAGATTGGACAAATATGTAGCCAGATGATGTGATCTAATGATGGGCTTTTCCAGCCAATAAAGAATATTCAAATCCAACAAATGTTAAGTTCAAAACATGATCGTTTTGTTGGGCTTGATTCTAGTCATTCTGGTCAATAATTATACTAAACACCATGCATGAATAAAAGCACCACGCAATACAGACAAGTGTCATTCGAGATTTGACTGGGACGATCCGAATCCAAAAACACCAGATAATACTACAGTACTCCGTTCAGGAGAACAAGCATATCCAGACAAAATCAGGAAGTAATTCCCTCTGCTGAGAATCAAACTATTTGACCGCTCACAAATGTTCGGTCATTAATTTCGTGCAGACGAAAAGTTTTGGCGATATCCGGTGCTTGAGACATTCCCACTCGACACTTCCTCTAATAAGAGGACATAAAACCAGTTAAACCAAATGTCGGAGATGAATCGATTTTGACAAATATTTGGATAAAAGGTGATGTCGCGATATGTAATCTGAACGGAACAGGTGTTGTAAGATGTGCAAGATACAGTTTACTGAGACGTGGTCTTATCCAAATACTTGCCTGTGTTTTTTTATGTCAACATCGAACGCATTAGCTTAGGCTCGGCGATATTATACTATCCTTGTTGGGTTTCATTAAGTATGTCTGGATATTGGTTGTTTTCACAAATAAGTTCAGACATACATGTAAATCCATACTCGATCTTACCAAACAGGTGATAAATACAGTGATAATGCGACAAAGTAGAGGCGTTGCTAACACCGGTCACTTTTAAGTGTTATCGGTGGAATGTAAATGAACCAGATGACTAGGCTTGAAATAGATAGATTGTTTGACTGGAGGCAGTTGGGAGGTAAGTGACTGTCACAGTTTACCTTAGCTAAAAATGGCAACAATGTTTGACCAAACATTCTCGATTAGTAATGCCTGTCAAATATAAGGAGTCAAACTTTTACGTCTAAAGTCTTATTAATACCCATTTCGGGGATTTACCGGGATAGTTTGGGAACTATTATTAGAGAATGAAAATGAGCGATAAAATATTCTTTAGCTTAGAAGTGTATCACTTAAGAGGAGAGTTGAGCTGTCTTTTCTCAAGTCATAGTGCATATGACAAATAAACCAAGGTTGAACAAGTAATTCGGATAGACGAAGACTGAGTTCATGATATGATTCGGTAAAAACTAATCAGGAAACAAGAAGAAATAAGTTTATAAGAAAAGATTTTCTCGAGTTTGGGGGAAGAATATTCGTCATCATCGAGTAGCTGGGACCGGACTGCAAAAATAAAATCGAACCCAAGAAAATCAGCAGTTTATACTAGCCAGTGGAAAAAAGTGTCTGATATTCCTATAAATTTGACCGATAATTTTTCGGCTCCGGCATTGAACATTGTAGGAAATTAAAGTGCTCTATCGGGTCCTCAAATCGATGCGTTACTTAAGTATGTTATGTTTCGATATTCTCTTTGTTTCTTTAGCCTAGTTTGTTACTGTTCAGTGGTTGATGGTTCTAGTCTTGTTGCGTTTCGTTTTTTCTATGATAACCTTTGTTATCCCACTTATCCAAGTGCAAACAGAAGCAAACCAAGCCTTGTTCATTAGTTTGTTGTATTGGACGTTATTTAATTTTGTTTACTGTTGGACGAATTTTATGGAGCTTCTTATAAGCTCCTCATACTCTTTATTTGTTGATTACTTAGCATTCAAAACTCCTTGGTCAGGTGTGAACTAGCCCGAGCGACGATATAAGTTCGCATTATTGATATGAAGTATCAATCACGAAAGGCATGAAACTACTTACATGAATTATGTAGTGAAAATTAAAATGAAATATCACAGGCAATTCTACATT